GAAATAAATGTAAAGTCAGGTTTAACTCATGATTTGATTTTATTTAGGTATGTTTAAGGAAATTACTTGATCATTAGATTGATTTTACCAACTTGACCTTTTTGCACCCAGTGACCTCATTGGCTCATCATTTGACCTAATTTTGAAATATTATTGTGAAGTACATTTGTGAGGATACTCTAGATGCAAAATAAGTTTGATTCTGATGGGGGCAGAAAAGGGGGTCTGTTGGGACAGTACCTTTATGTATAAAAAAATGAAGAGGACATTAAAATTGTACACGTTTATACCTGTATGAATTTTATCATGCTGAGGACTGCAATACATCTGGACACTTTGCTGCCTCCACAGTGGTACCGGGTTTTTACAGACGCTAACAACGATGTAGGCACGTTACATGAAGCCAGAGGGGCATCAAGATGTCCCGGTTTCTACTCTAAATTAGTTGTTAAACCAACCGAAGCATCATGGAGCGGCACAAATTTAAACAACAGCTTACATGTCATAAAGGACTCATTAAACCAGGCAATGGTAAAAACATTTGTGAATATTAACAAATATATATTTGGAGCAGAGCTAAATGTTGCAAATATAAAGTTTATTTCGGTTTAACAGAACAGGATGATGGAGAATATTTTGACATGAACCGTGTATCTGTAGACCGTAATAAACCATTTCTTCACGAAAGATACTAGACCAGCGACCAGAGATTTTGGTAATTTCATTTGTTACGAATATATATGGGTCAGAGCTAACAATAAAAATTTGTACTTGCCGGTTAAGCCAGTCATTCACAATTTGTTATATGCAGCCTCGAGAGTATCACAAATATGTTTTCAATTATAAACTCCAAATAGCCTCTACAATGTGTTAGCTTGACCACAAAAACAATGGAATACTGATGATACTAATGCCCCGATAGGCAGAGGACTTGGTACCTTAGTCCTACAGCATACAACAGCTAGCTGATGGTTGGGTGATAGATGGCATATATACATCCGACCCCAGGCCACCATGCATTTGTTGCAGCCAAGAAGACGACCCTTAAAAAGGTATTACAGTGACATGTATACATCTCAGATGTAAATATTTAAGAATTATAATTATAAATATTTATTGCAAGTTTTCGAAAAAAAATTTGAATTGCTATTCATATTCTTTTTTCAGGTGAACTTGGTTTAAGTAAACAAAGATCTTATTGGAGAATGAGAATGCTGGAGCCTAAATATAGCTCAGGCTTATTGAATATATGAGGTGGTAAAACACTTGGAGTGAGTTGGAAGAAAAAGATGGTTTTGAGAAGAGGGTGTTAACAGAATTGTAAGCTGAGAGACATGATATGTATTTTGAAGGAGAAATATATGACTTACAACTAAATATTTGTCTCTGTTGTTTTCTGGAGGAAGCTAAGTAGAGTTTGAACAATTACAAACACACTTGACTGACATTTTATATAATAACACTTTAGATCTTCAATTTAGAAATGAATCAATAAAATAACTATAATCAATTTAATTCAATTTTACATTCTACTTTTACATTTCATCATGTTTATCAGTATATACATTTTATTGGGTTTTATGAATCAATTGATCCAGACGGCGTAATATACCCAAGACCCAAGGCCATCCACATTTGTTATGTCAGTACGTTAGATACAGACATTCAGCAACACATTTTAATTTTACATTTTACTTTTACAATTACCTCAACTTTTTCATTAATGTACAGTTAGACCTGCAGCTTTAACAATCGGAACATGTTTATGTAAATTGTTTTTGAAACCGATAAAATGCCATTTACTGCTTAAATGACAATTAAGTTGTATCAATATCAACAAATATTGTTTATAGGGTAGAGGATTGGGAACCTCAGTTTTACAGCACCCAATGGGTAGAATGTGGTTGGATGGTAGACAGTGTAATATACCAAAGACCCAAGGCCACCCACATTTGTTATGTGCGGCCTAGAACACGATTAAGTTACGACTGTTAATTTCTCAGCTGGTGTAAGAGGAATGCAATTGCCTCTCCTATTTTCCGCTTGACCACTCTAATCAAGAGGGGATGTTGAATTGTATGACCTGTCAATACATATTATTGGAATGGCCATTAATAATATTTTGGCCATTTGAGACATCAGTACGTTAGATACAGACATTCAGCAACACATTTTAATTTTACATTTTACTTCTACAATTACCTCAACTTTTTCATTTATGTGCAGCTAGACCTGCAGCTTGAACAATCGGAACATGTTTATGTAAACTGTTTTTGAAACCGATAAAATGCCATTTACAGCTTAAATGACAATTAAGTTGTATCAATATCAACAAATATTGTTTATAGAGTAGAGAAGACGATCCTTAAAAAGGTAACATAGTGACTTGTATACATCTCAGATGGGAACCTCAATTTTACCCCACCAAACGGGTAGATGGCGGTTGGGTGGTCGACGGTATAATATACCAAACGCCCAAGGCCCCCCGCATTTGTTATGTGTGGCCTAGAAGATGATTCTTAAAAAGGTAACATAGTGACTTGTATACATCTCAGATGGAAATATGTAAAAATTATAATTATAAATATTTATTGCAAGTTTTTCAAAAAACATTTGAATTAATATTAATATTTTTTTCTTTTCATGTGAACAAAGTAATAGACTATGGACTATAGACATCAAAGCAACATATATGGCACAGCCAAACAGCCTCCGCAAGAAATTAACAGTCGAATGCCCTTGGACATTGTCAAAACACAGACAGTCCATATATGTCGCAGACTTTACAATTCAATTGAACTTATTTGTTTACATATTATCGGAATGGCTTTTAAATGATATTTTGCAATTTAAGATGTCAGTACGTTAGATACAGGCACTCAGCAACACATTTTAATTTTACATTCTACTTTTACATTTCATCATGTTTATCAGTATATACATTTTAATGGGGTTTATGAATCAATTGATCCAGAATAATAAAGAGTAAGTATTTTAAAAATAATTACGAGAGTATACATAATACTTAATAATTACATATATCTTAAACTGTTGTCATATAATTACCTCAACTTTTTCATTATTAATGTACAGCTAGACCTGTAGCTTTAACAATCGGAACATGTTTATGTAAACTGTTTTTGAAATCGATAAAATGCCATTTACTGATTAAATGACAATTAAGTTGTATCAATATCAACAAATATTGTTTATAGGGTAGAGGATTGGGAACCTCAAATTTACCCCGCCCAACGGATAGCTGCTGGTTGGATGGTAGACGGTGTAATATACCCAAGACCCAAGGCCACCCACATTTGTTATGTGCGGCCTAGAACACGATTAAGTTACGACTGTTAATTCCTTAGCTGCCGTTAGAGGAACGCATTTGCCTCTCCTATTTTCAGCTTGACCACTCTAACCAAGAGGGGATGTTGAATTGTATGACCTGTCAATAGATATTATCGGAATGGCAATTAATAATATTTTGGCCATTTGAGACGTCAGTACGTAAGATACAGACATTCAGCAACACATTTTAATTTTACATTTTACAATTACTATTACCTCAACTTTTTCATTAATGTACAGCTAGACCTGCAGCTTTAACAATCGGAACATGTTTATGTAAACTGTTTTTGAAACCGATGAAATGCCATTTACTGCTTAAATGACAATTAAGTTGTATCAATATCAACAAATATTGTTTTTAGGGTAGAGGATTGGGAACCTCAATTTTACCCCACCAAACGGGTAGATGGCGGTTGGGTGGTCGGCGGTATAATATACCAAACGCCCAAGGCCCCCCGCATTTGTTATGTGTGGCCTAGAAGATGATTCTTAAAAAGGTAACATAGTGACTTGTATACATCTCAGATGTAAATATGTAAAAATTATAATTATAAATATTTATTGCAAGTTTTCCAAAAAACATTTGAATTAATATTAATATTTTTTTCTTTTCATGTGAACAAAGTAATAGACTATGGACTATAGACATCAAAGCAACATATATGGCACAGCCAAACAGCCTCCGCAAGAAATTAACAGTCGAATGCCCTTGAACATTGTCATATGTCGCAGACTTTACAATTCAATTGAACTTATTTGTTTACATATTATCGGAATGGCTTTTAAATGATAATTTGCAATTTAAGATGTCAGTGCGTTAGATACAGGCACTCAGCAACACATTTTAATTTTACATTCTACTTTTACATTTCATCATGTTTATCAGTATATACATTTTAATGGGGTTTATGAATCAATTGATCCAGAATAATAAAGAGTAAGTATTTTAAAAATAATTACGAGAGTATACATAATACTTAATAATTACATATATCTTAAACTGTTGTCATATAATTACCTCAACTTTTTCATTATTAATGTACAGCTAGACCTGTAGCTTTAACAATCGGAACATGTTTATGTAAACTGTTTTTGAAACCGATGAAATGCCATTTACTGCTTAAATGACAATTAAGTTGTATCAATATCAACAAATATTGTTTTTAGGGTAGAGGATTGGGAACCTCAATTTTACCCAACCAAACGGGTAGATGGCGGTTGGGTGGTCGACGGTATAATATACCAAACGCCCAAGGCCCCCCGCATTTGTTATGTGTGGCCTAGAAGATGATTCTTAAAAAGGTAATATAGCGACTTGTATACAGCTCAGATGTAAATATGTAAGAATTATAATTATAAATATTTATTGCAAGTTTTCCAAAAAACATTTGAATTAATACTAATATTCTTTTTTCAGGTTAACAAAGTAATAGACGTGCTAGAGTTGAGACCATGCGCGGGGTCCTCCAGCCAGCTCTGCGGAACTGTGGCCCTGCGGGACCATGATTGTCGGGAAACAGCAGCTGCACTATCATTAAAATGTTATGAATTGCAGTTGGGGAAGAATGAGTTGAAACGAATAATTGCCAAACCATGTGCGAAGCAGATATTTCACTGTGAAAAGTGAAATGAGTGAAGCATATAGGAACCCCAAACAACAAAGAAACCCATAAATCAAACAAATAGTCTAACTGAATACCTCAAATTGGACAAAACCAGCTAAAAAGAATCATGGAGGATAGTCAGAAATTCAAAATAGTTAGATGGCTCAAGGAAAATGAGGCATATATGGACCAAGAATCGCTGGGTTCGTTTAAAGAAGGCGAAAGTCTGACGGGACTCACATCGGACGAGATCCTGGATAATATTACCCAAGAAGGGGTGTCCAGGGCTGACGTGGATGATATCTTCAAGATAGCGAATCTTGATGCCCAAAGCCAGGAGGACATGGTACGATTCGCGGCAGGCTTTCTTGCAACAAAATCAAGTTTGAGGTCAAACAAGCGTAAGAACCAGGATATAGAGAAAGGTGTAAAGAAAAGCAAAGATGACTCTCTTCAAGAGCAGGTACTTACCATTTGTGCATAATTCTCATTCATTTCTGTTTATAGGCAACAGTTACCATATATTAATTATTTAAACCAGTTAAAGTAATTCATTTCAATATTTTTCATCAGATAAAATCCCGTTAAAATATTTGAAAGCAATATTTGATAGAAGTTCAACATAAAAGAGAGACTCGGCTGGAAGCCAAAGTGTCATCAGCAATCTGAGAGATGGACAGCTCAGCGGTTTTGTCAGGTCTTTGAATATCTGGTAAAGATATACTAAGAATGTTTAGATAATGTTGGGAAATACATAATACTGGATAACAGTAGTAATGTCAAATGACCAAATAATGTTACATTACCAATCCTTGTGCTGTTGTGGTACATAATTTGATGTATAATAGGAACAGATGATGGATTGCCAAAATGATATCAGCAGGAAAACGAATTATAAAAAACATTTGTGACGTTGCTCCACATTCCCTGACTCCTGTAACCATAACAACCATAGCTTTTTCATTTTGAAACAATATGTCATGATAGCTGTAGGATAAATTGTTATAATGTCAGTCTACAATCTGTAGCAATTTCATTTCACAACACGCTAATCTATTGAAATTAGAGCATTTGTATCTTGATTTACTTTCCGGACACCCTGTACTGTAATGGAAGGGTTTAAATTGTAATAATTGATGTTGATTGATGTGTAATGACTGAATCGTCGGTCTCAGGATGGAAAGCTGGACCAGTTTTCTACTCTCTGAGATCAACGATTTAATCATCGGTTAATTTGGTTAACTAATTAACAGAATTTATGCAGACTATAAAAAGAAATGTTACATCAAATTATTTAGATTTAAGATTTAAAACATTGAATATAAAAATTACTGTAGAAATCAAAGATGGAAAAAGACTAGAATAAAATGAATCAATAAGGAAATAGTGAATTTATGTAACATTGTGTCATAATAAAAGACTAACATTGGTGGCAGCAGTGGTTTCTACGAACTCATGTGAAAGAGGAACTTGATTAAAACAAAGATTAAAATTAAATGAATTTGACTTTAATGAACAGGATTGGACTAATAAAAAAGTTTGGAAAATATTTTGTGAACTCATATCAAGTAAAGGATGATGGATACTTTGACAATTGAAATATTTTACAATATAGGATATAAATTGAGCATATCGAAATGGACAAAGATAGAACATAGTAGCCCTGACAGAATTGTTCAATAAGAAACAAGTCAGCATAACTTATATGTACTATTGAACAACACATGAAAATATTGTGTTATATTATTTTCCTAATTGAAGTGGACATAGAAATAGTATGAAAATGATTGACATAGATGATAGTACTCATACAAAGTCAATTGGGATATCTGATGAGGATCTTATCAATTTCAAACTTATAGATTTTCATCGCATTATTTAGAATCTTGATCATTTTACAAAAGAATATTACAGACGACGTCGTAGAATGTTGAAGAATAGGATATATTCTTCAAATTCAAAGAGAATTAGAAATAGATAAGAAAAAGAAACTTTTGAAGACAAGAAAATGATTGCTTACAAATTGAAAAAAATTATTTGATGAAACAAGAGATACAATATTTGAAAAATAAATACATAATGACTGAATATCTACAAAAGACAAATACATCTGGTTAATTTATACCTTTGATTGCAGAAATGACGGCGATGGACAATTCCCCAATTACTTATTTCTGGTATAGACCTGAGAGGGTAGATAATACTACATCACAGCTGGACAATGTACTTGTTGTATTGATTGTTATATCGGTTGCTCTTTTTTTACTTTATAAAAGGCAGCGTTCCATCATTCTAAAGCTCGGAAAGGTAATAGCCAAGTGTGAAAAAACAAAATAAGTTCAGTTAACAGATAATCCAATGATTGAGATGGCGGAAACCACTCTTTAGACTCACTTTTTCGCAATTTTTGACCTATTTTTCAGTGATATTGTTATAAATATTAACAATTAATATAACAATTAAATTATACATTTCAGATGGAATGGACTTGCCAAACCTGTTAAGAGGAGACAGGATTTTTAAAACTTTTCGATCATATGTCATATTGTCATGAGAGTTTGCCGAATGGAGATTTAGTGAACGACTGGCTATTTAACAGAGATTCGTCATCATCCCATTCATCATACTCATCTCTGAACTCTCATATTAATTCATCAGACATTATTACAATCGACCAAGCTTCAATTACATCAGACAATTCATCACTTCAGGATTCAGATTTGCGTTGTTCATTCTGCAATATATCGTTTACTGACATTGTCATACAGCGTTTACATATGTCAACTCACGATGATGATGATAGTAAACTTTGAACTCTCTGTTACACTATCTTCCTAAACGAAAAAGACTTTGCTCGCCATTTTTATACTTTGGATTATCACCATTGAAATTCATTTATAGAAACAGAAAATCATGGACGACAATTTAATACATATGATAAATCCTGATGACAGGACAAATCATGTGGGGCCATTCATTATTCCTGGAGTCATAAACAGTTATCAAGACATTTCTCCTCTTTCTATTGACAATGATCTGTTCGAAATTGAGAATATGTTTGAAGATGCAATGTAAGTTGTAGAAACGAATGAACAGGAGGAGGATATTTTAAAAAAGCTTTGACTGAAGCTGGTTTGCCAATGGATTGGAATGATTTTTAGATACTTTTGATTTTATGGATGAAATGTTTCTGGAGGAAATTGTGAGTTGTGAGTGGGGAGCAGCAATCATTGAGAATTTTGAGCAGATGGCCTTGTCAGTCTGCTCTGTCTCGGTGGTTGCTGATGAAACATTTACTTGCTCCACTTCCAACATGAAATGGATCCCCCTCCATCCCAAATTAATTTATTTCGATTATTTTTTGTATAACACATGGAAACTAACTTTAAAAAGTGAGCAATGTCATTAGTATTGTGATAATAACGTCCCTTATACCTATTTATTACAGGTTGTGTAGACCATTGTTGCCCAATTTATAGCAAAAACATTGACTTTTGCATGTTGGTGATGATGCGCCTTTTTTAATAGATATCATATCTTAAAAGGGTATCAGTTAAAAAAACAAACTAGATGACCTAACATATTTTGCCATGCACTGCGCCTATTCATTTGGCAATTCAGTAATAAATTTTCTCTTGAAAAAATAAATCTTCCTAATTTGTTGAGTTTTCTTGCAGAAATCGCCTAATCCCCCCCCCTCCATCATTTTTGTTTGATCATCGGGCGTGTAAATGCATTCTGAAATCTCTCTAATGATGATATTTTATTATTCTGAAAATTATATATTTTGCTGAGCTTATGTATTGCTTTTGTACACCGTTTGGATGGATCAACACACTCTGTGCTATATAGTACCGAATGGATGAGTTGTATTTGTTCAGATTTTGAATAATGATATTTTTGTTCCATATTTTTGTAAATGGACATGCATGTATTATGATTATCTATACTTTAGAATGTTGAGATTGGTCAAGTTGTTAGATAATCATTGGCAGTATAATAATGAGATTTGTTTGGTATTTTGAGTAGTATTACGACTTTACTCAGGGTGTGTTGTTCTTATCAGTATGCGCTTGAATTTTTTTTTCTTGTTGATTCTTTGTCCGCCCGGAGGTCTGAGGCTAAGAGGGGGGTAATGTGAGTAATAAAACAACATGAAATCATAACAATCATAAAGTTGATTGTATATTTGAAATATTTCTAGCGACAAAGTCTTAATCTTTCTCTTTGCCACAGATTAATATAAACAACATTATTATTGAAGACAGGGAACAACTACCCCGCATGTAAACAAACTACTTTTCCTTATGATATGAACAACTATGCCAGAATGTGACATGTGTATGCCAAAATACGATGATTGTACATGTACATTATTAGCACTTTATGATAGAGTGTCGCAGAGTGTCTTATAATAAATCTTATGTTGTACCCCCTTCCTTAATATGTATCAGTTGTCAGATTGTATATATTTTGATCACTGAGCAACTCTTAGCAACACTGTTCTCGTTTATTTATATATTATGAACACCTGACTACTCTAAGCAACATATACCAGGTCTATTTTGAACACTTAAGAGACGTTTATCCATACAACCTGGTTTTCAAATATTTTGAATATATCGAGACGCTATTAGCAACATAGCCCCCCAATATTGTAAGAAAACAATACAATTTTGGCACTGATATGACTATGTACAGTTCATGTCAGGTAACATCGTAGCAGATTTTAAACCTACTCTTTCTTGGCACGACTCAGCCAGGCAACAAAACACTGGTTTTATGTTTATGTAATTTGTTACCTGGAGAGAAATCAACTCTAGGGGCGACAAAACATGACTGTAATGTTTATGTAAGCGAGAACCCTTCTGCTTATTAGATACCTCTCTATATAAACTGTTAACACATGTTTCAAGTCACTTTTCACCAAAGCACTAAAAGGCTAATTACTTGATTATCGAAGTGAAGATCAGAGCTAGTCACTGCACTGCATTGCACAGCACAACAGCGTATCAAGATGGTACTTCTACTAGAATTTATCGCTCTTAAAGTAGTGATAGACAATTGGGCACAATTTACCAAATGTGCGCCGAGGATAAGATTAGCATTTCCTGTCAATAAAAGCCTTCATATGTGTACTCAGGACCTTATGACGGAAGACACTGCTAATTTTAAACTAAAATTGAAGCTTAGGGAAAGGTTTTTAGAACCAGTTAGGTATTCAAGACTCATGGGACTATTATTGCCCTTACTAGGAGCATTGGGATTTGACTGCTCATACATTGTTATTTTTTGATGGAGCTACTGTGGTTTTCAAAGTGATTCGTAATGGCATAGTGGGACATTACCAGAAGTCAGAATACAATTTTGACTATCCATCACATGGAACATGTGAAGAAATGTTACTTGGCATATATCCAACGAGAGTGATACAGAACGGCCATCCAAACGGTTATGATGAACATATGACAACAATACACAATTGTTGTATATTATCCATTTAAGATGAGCCTATTATCCAGTTACAACAATGGCGTATCAGTGTTGGTTTTGTTATGTTACGATCTCCCCATCATTTGGAAGCCTTACTCCCAGCCCAATGGTATAGGATACTATCTGATAAAGACCGATTACAAATTGTGAATTTTGATCTACAAGATATTAGGTCTGCCACACGCTGTCCTGCGTTTTATACATCGCTGTCTGTGAAAACATATTCCAATGAATGGCATGGGGATCCCACTTATCTCTCACTTCAAAAAGTTCAGGAATCATTGGACATTGGCCTGTTGAAATCGTTAATCACTATTTGGGAGTTCACACTCCTCACTACACCAAGCGTTAATGTGGAAGTTGCAAAATTAAACAGGTATTGTTTTAAAATACCCCATGGCAACGGTTGATAGGACATGACAGAGGTTACCATAGATACACATGAAGAACTGAACACCCAGGACAGTGATACGATTCTCAGGCACTTTTTTACAACTGATACCAGGGCAATGACAGGCGACTTTGCTAGGTTTATAAGTCATGATAATAAATATGGAAATGGATTGTGACCTTTGGGATAAGTTCACCAAATTGGATAATGTTTTGGATATGGAACATTTTTCAATATTCATCAAATCGCACATTATAAAGAGGTTATTTTTCGCATTTCCATATTAAGAAGTCTGGAAGCAATCAGCTTATTTATTATTATTTATTGGAGGTATAATAAAAAATTGAATGCAATGTTTCTGTCGTAGTACTTTAATTCTTATGTCTATCACAGATGTTCCACACATTAGAACATAATAGCCTTCGCAAACAACTGTAAACCTACTTTAATTAATATAATAATATAACAGATTACTTATGATAAAATAATAATAACTGAACTGAAATGGACTTTTATTGACCCTATAAATATATCAGGCACTTAGAATTAATTAAAACAAAAAACATAAGAAATACTGAACCATAAAATATAATTTTTTGGGGTGGAGGCTGGTGTAGTGTCTCATCTTTTTTTCTAAGGACAAGCGTTAAACTTCAATATTACGCAGCTATTCCATATGCATAGCAAAACTGAGTCCATGAAGGCACTCTGCAAAATATGCGAATGTAATGATGATTTCTCATTCATCCCATGTGTCCCAGCAAGTTTGTGTGAGGTGATCGGTGAGGCAAAGCACTAAAAGGCTAATTGCTTGATTATCGAAGTGAAGATCAGAGCTAGTCACTGCACTGCACTGCACAGCATATCAAGATGGTACTTCTACTAGAATTTATCGCTCTTAAAGTAGTGATAGACAATTGGGCACAATTTACCAAATGTGCGCCGAGGATAAGATTAGCATTTCCTGTCAATAAAAGCCTTCATATGTGTACTCAGGACCTTATGACGGAAGACACTGCTAATTTTAAACTAAAATTGAAGCTTAGGGTAAGGATTTTAGAACCAGTTAGGTATTCAAGACTCATGGGACTATTATTGCCCTTACTAGGAGCATTGGGATTTGACTGCTCATACATTGTAGTTTTTTGATGGAGCTACTGTGGTTTTCAAAGTGATTCGTAATGGCATAGTGGGACATTACCAGAAGTCAGAATACAATTTTGACTATCCACATGGAACATGTGAAGAAATGTTACTTGGCATATATCCAACGAGAGTGATACAGAACGGCCATCCAAACGGTTATGATGAACATATGACAACAATACACAATTGTTGTATATTAGCCATTAAAGATGAGCCTATTATCCAGTTACAACAATGGCGTATCAGTGTTGGTTTTGTTATGTTACGATCTCCCCATCATTTGGAAGCCTTACTCCCAGCTCAATGGTATAGGATACTATCTGAAAAAGACCGATTACAAATTGTGAATTTTGATCTACACGATATTAGGTCTGCCGCACGCTGTCCTGCGTTTTATACATCACTGTCCGTGAGAACATATTCCAATGAATGGCATGGGGATCCCACTTATCTCTCACTTCAAAAAGTTCAGGAATCATTGGACTTTGGCCTGTTGAAATCGTTAATCGCCATTTGGGAGTTCACATGCCTCACTACACCAAGCGTTAATGTGGAAGTTGCCAAATTAAATACGTATTGTTTTAAAATACCCCATGGCAACGGTTGATATGACATGACAGAGGTTACTATAGATACTGGCATAGTGGGACATTACCAGAAGTCAGAATACAATTTTGACTATCCACATGGAACATGTGAAGAAATGTTACTTGGCATATATCCAACGAGAGTGATACAGAACGGCCATCCATCAACGGTTATGATGGACATTATGACAACAATACACAATTGTTGTATATAAGCCATTAAAGATGAGCCTATTATCCAGTTACAACAATGGCGTATCAGTGTTGGTTTTGTTATGTTACGATCTCCCCATCATTTGGAAGCCTTACTCCCAGCCCAATGGTATAAGATACTATCCGATAAAGACAGATTACAAATTGTGAATTTTGATCTACACGATATTAGGTCTGCCGCACGCTGTCCTGCGTTTTAAACATCGCTGTCCGTGAGAACATATTCCAATGAATCGCATGGGGATCCCACATATCTTGCACTTCAAAAAGTTCAGGAATCATTGGACATTGGCCTGTTGAAATCGTTAATCACCACTTGGGAGTTCACACGCCTTACTGCACCAAGCGTTAATGTGGAAGTTGGCAAATTAAACACGTATTGTTTTAAAATACCCCATGGCAACGGTTGATATGACATGACAGAGGTTACCATAGATACACATGAAGAACTGAACACCCAGGACAGTGATACGATTCTCAGGCACTTTTTTACAACTGATACCAGGGCAATGACAGTTGACTTTGCTAGGTTTATAAGTCATGATTATAAATATGGAAATGGATTGTGACCTTTGGGATAAGTTCACCAAATTGGATAATGTTTTCGATATGGAACATCTTTCGAGTATTCATCAAATCGCACATTATAAAGAGGTTATTTTTCGCATTTCCATATTAAGAAGTCTGGAAGCATGCCTGGTAATGTATAGCTACTGTATAATTTTATCATATTCAAATGAAAGTTAATTTAGTGTAGTCTGTAAATATTGCATTGTTTTGATTTTGATTCAGGTCCCTAAAATTTAAAACGCAAGCATAATGCGAGATTTCACAATTTATTTTAGGATATCTTTAAAGTATATTGTATGATCTTTATGATGTGTGCGTTTGAAACTCCTAAATGGGGCACCCTTATGCTCAAATCTTCTTTTTTCATGTATATCTTTTAAGATGAACTAATTTAATCAAAGGCCTCGTAGATGGTAAATACATACACATGGTATAAGGTCCGGTAGAGTAATTTGCTATTTATTATTAACATTTCAATGTTCTACATTGTGGGAAAGTGTTTCGTGGTCAGGGTCCAATGTTGAAGTCTTAATGAACCACCTGACTGATGATGAGCTGTTAAGGGCTGATGGTATTGATGTTCCGGAGAGAGAAGCTGAATTATCAGACCATGACATATGTCGTGCCTTGGACGACTTTGAAAATAACAGACCATTCAGTCCTCTAACAGCGACCAATGACCCAGAATTATATGAGCTTGACATAAAATTTCAAGAACTGTTTAACATTGCGGTTAATATAAAATTACTGTATCATGTCATATCAAGAATTGCTTATGACTATAAACAGAATAGAGACCAAAATCACATTGATAACCATAAGGTAGGAGGGGATAATGGTGAACTGAATGATGAACACCCTGAAGATGAAGGTCATCATGAGAATGGTCCTGATAGTGACAGAGAGAGTGACGTTGACAGTTTGCCAGAATCTAATCATGAAGAACAAAGTAATGATAGTGATTTGTTACAGCATATTTATTCACTAGACAAACCAAAATCATATATCTCCTATGTAGATGCAAACAACCTGTATGGATGGGCTATGAGCAAACCTCTCCCAACACACAGATTTTGGACAAGTAACAATATTTGATGTTTAAACACTTATATTGTGATCGAATGATCATTTAGTTTCATTTAGATTCATTTATTATTGTGGATTTTGGAAATAGCATTGGCCATGATATACCAATACTTCCCAATTGGCTTACCTTATTGTTATTACTTCAGGAAATGGAAGCTTTTTGCCTGGATGAGATGGCCCTTCATTTGAATATGTTATACAGGGGGATGTATTTGGCCTCCATGCAACATCACAGATTGACATCAATAAGAGCAGACGCCATGCTGGCTATAGGTTGTTTATTTATATTATGGCGTCACAGCAGATTGGGTAAAAAGGACAGAAAAGTTGTACCCAATTGCTGTACATTATGAATAAGGGACAAATTACCAGCAATTGATGGTCACTATGCTGGTTACAAACATGGAACAATATTTAGTTGGGTTATAAACCATTTTGACGAACAGTTGAATGCAGGTATTATGGAGGTTTCTAATATGTCAATGTCTACACAGGATACATGCTTGTACATGTGACCCAGGCAGACACAATTTTACTAGGAACAAGTAGCATACATATGTTAATGGCCATGATATACCAATACTTCCCAATTGGCTTACCTTGTTGTTATT